TATATATTGTTAAATATATCTTTATTGATTTTTAGAGAGTGGAAAGGAGGGAAAAAGGGAGGGAGGAGAGAGAGACATCGATTGGCTCTGCAACCAATCGATGGTTGTCGGGGATCGAACCTGCAACCCAGGTACATACCCTTGACTAGGAATTGAACCTGAGACCCTTTGGTGTGTGGGCTGATGCTCTGACTACTTGACCACACTGGCCAGGGCATAAAATTCATTTCTTGATAGCTCTGCTTAGATGACCAGCTTTTTTCTAAAAACTCAATAAATCAAGATTTCTAAAATGGCAACAACTTGCCCTGGCCAGTGTGGCTCAGTTGGTTGAGCATCGGCCAGTGCACCTAAACGTCGCTGGTTTGATCCCAGTCAGGTTTCATCCCCTACTTGATGTTTCTCTCTCTCTCTCCCTCTCCCCCCCCCAAAAGTCAATAAAAACATTAAAAAAATAAAATAAAATGACTTTATTTTTTGTTCATTACAAAACAATATACATTGTTGAGAATTTAGAAAATATAAATTGAAAAAAAGAAAGTCACAACTAATGCCACCATCAAGAGGTAACTATCACAAATGTTTCTTGCTGTGTACCCTGCTTCATAGGGTTAGAGTTCTTTGCTTTAGTTTTTCCATTTAAGATGCAAATATTTAAGTATCTTTTACCCCCAAAGAGGCACTTTTTTTCCTTATTGGCTCATCTCTGTCAGAGAATACCATGGGCTCTGTGAATATCAACAAACTGCAGACACGCTTTCCTTCCTAGTTTATAATCAACTGCATAACTTGTGATTTTTTCTGGTGTATGACCCTCCTACCCGAGTGTCACTGTGTTCAGTAGGTAGCTAGTTAGTTCTTGGAAGGGACCCAGCGTTGGTGTCAGTCAGGCTGCGTTCAGGTGTCAGCGAAGCCACCTTCCATCTGACACAAGTTAGAGCTGATGTTGCGAAGCCTCCGCTTCATCATCTACGAAATGATGCCTGAGCTGCCAGAGCTGCTGTGACAGGTGAGGTGGTGCGGAGAATGGTGCTCGCCGGTGTTAGGGACGGAAACCCAGGCTGCGTGTTAGCTCCTGAGAATGTGCAGCCGACCCACTTTGAGTTTGCAGTTCTAAGAGAGGACTTAGAGTGAAGAAATCCAGACCGAATAGAAAGCACTGTGCGTGATTTCCGGTGGAGATGGCTTTGCACCTCACGTCCGGGCACTGCACTGTGGGGTGCTTTCAGTCTTAGCGGGAAACAGTGACATCTGCTGGACACAGTGCGGCCTTCCGGTTTGAGGCCCTTCACAGTTTCGGGATGTTCCTGCCGGTAATTCCTTTGTGGGCCGGCAGATTTTGCAAACCGGGCTTTTGGCGGCTGCTGTGATGAAGAGCAAGTGTGTCCTGAGGAGGATCCTCGAGCAGGAGGTGGAGGTGGTGGCCCGGCTGATTGCTGCGCTGGGAAGTTATGCCGTCGGTGCCCAACAGCCCCGAGTTGCTGGGACATAAATCCTCTTTGAGTTGTTTGACCCTGACCGCTTACTAAGTGCAATGGTCAGGGTCTTTTCTGGCCGAGGGGCACCATGAAAAAATGGCTGAAACACCAAGGGCCTGTGAACTGAGAGGGTTTGGAGCTTCTGCCCTGGGAGTTCCTGCTGCGACTGTGCCCTGGTTTGATGATTGACAGCTCATGCCTTGCATGTTAGCTTAGTGTTTCCACAAAGGTTGTCGGTTTTGTTTATTGTTACAAATGCTTATAAAATAACTGACTGTATGTCACACAATATCCTAAGAGTTTCACAAATACTAAATGATAGCATTTATTTAATAAAAAAATTATTTTAAAAAATGTATCTTTATTGATTTCAGAGAGAGGAAGGGAGAGGGAGAGAGACAGAGAAACATCAATGATGAGAGTCATTGATCAGCTGCCTCCTGCACGCCCCCGACTGGGAACTGAGCCTGCAGCCCGGGCTGGGAATTGAACCACAATCTCCTGGATCCTAGGTCAATGCTCAATAGCTGAGCCACTCCGGTCTGGGCACTAAATGATAGCATTTAGAAAAAATTGTGAAATGCACATAACACAGAATGTGCCACCTTAACCACGTTAAAGTGCACAGCTGAGCGGCATTAGTACATCCTCACTGTCATGACTGTCCACCTCCAGAACCTTTTCACCTGGCAAAACAGAAGCTCTGTCCACATTAAACACTAGCTCCCCCCCTCCAGCCCCTGGCACCCACCCTTCTGCTTTCTGTCTCCAGGAATTTGACTCCTCTAGGGATCTGGTAGGAGAGATATCAGTGTTCTTTTGTGACCAGCTCCCATTTCACTCATGTTGTAACGCAGCAGGATCTCTTTCCCCTTTAAGGCTGAGTAGGAACACTCTGGTATAGATGGGCCCCACTGTGTTTGTCCCTCAGCCACTGGTGGGCACTTGGGATGCTTTCAGGTTTTGGCTGTTGTGAGTAAACATGGGTGGACCTCACAGCATTTGAAAGATGTGGAACCTGAGGCGGAGGTGGTGGAACTGAGATTTGAACCCAGGCCATCTGGCTCCAGATTCTGTGTTCTAGACACTCTTAGGCACAGTAACACGTGGGCTGTTTTAATAAATCGAAAACACAGATTCTCTACACTGAAAAATGGCTTCTGCCCTGGCTGGAAGTGGGTCAGTGGGTTGGGCATCTCCCGTGCACCAGGGGTCTCTGGTTCGCTTCCCAGTTGGGGCCCATGCCCAGGTTGTGGGTTCAGCCCCCCGTTGAGGTGTGTATCGGAGGCAGCTGATAGATGTTTCTCTCTCAATCGATTTTTCTCTCTCCCCCTATCCCTTTCTCTCGCTAAAATAAAAAGCTCTTTTTTAAAAAAAAAAAATTGGCTTCTGAGAGCAGGTAGTGAGCGGAGGCGGCCCATGCTCACCCTCTAGGATGTGTCCTGAGGGAGCCTCACATGTGGGTGCAAGAAGTAGGCGCCGGCGCTTCCTTCGCTCTGTTGGAATCATCTGAACGCCAGCAGAGAAGAACCCAGTTAGCTGTGGTCTATTCAGAGTAAGAGCCTGTAGGATGTGAAGGTGAATGTCCTGGGCACACGTTGCTGATCCAGCTAAATCCCTGCCGACAGCACACTCGACAAAAAAGTAGTTCACAGGAGGGTGTATACAGTAGGATCCCTTCTATATTAGGTTTAGTAATATCCAAAAATAGTCTAATTCTTTAGGGACATGGAAATATATCGTGAAACTGTTAAGAAATGTTTAAGATATAAAAGGCTGATACTTGATGTAGTTAAATTGAACCATGACTATTGCTGATCATGGCTCAGGCTAGCCTGCATTGACAGTTACAATCTAAGAATTTTTAAAATGAGATCCTGAAGTTTTTGTTTAATTGCATCAATTTCTGTATTTATGTGAATTTATAAGCCAGTAAGTTTTGAATGAGGTTAATCTTGTCTAATATAAGTAAATGAGTCTGTAGACTGATTGCCCCAAACTAAAAAGTACAGTACCTGGAATTGTGTTCTTAATGGTTGTAGTGTTGGTAAAGCACTAATACGCAGAAAATGAAGGAATTACACAGTGCAAAAAAAAAAAGATTACACACGAAATGTAGCACCCTGGGCCCTGAGGTGAGGGGAAGGGGAGGGGTGTCATGGGAAGGGAAGCAGGCCAGTTGTCTGTGATGTTTGTAAAGCTTCATTCCTTTCTTCGTTTTTTCAGTAATGCTTTATTTTTTAAGTTGCATTGCAAGTACTGGTATTTGTTAATTTGGTACCTTGTTATATGCCTGAGGTGCTTTTTAATTTTTTAAGAGGCCAGTGGACAGGTCCTTGTTTACGTGTCCATGTGAACTCTTTCATGCAGCCAGCTGAGCGAGCTGCGAGACATTTCCTTGAGGAGCTGTGCCGTGAGCCGTGCTGGCGACAAAGGAGCCATTGCTGAGGTGTGTCCCAGTATCCTTTCAGTGGTCACTTGCAACTGGACCCTGACCGACTCTGCAGGTCGGCCACCCCGTCTGTCGTCCCCGGCTTCCTTCCTGACAGTGGCCCAGTTAACAGGCAGCTGACGCCCAGATAATTGTCTACTTTCCCAGCCCCTCTGATGTTGGGTGAAGCAGCGATGACCCTGGCCAGTGAGGGCCAACGTGGATTTCTGGGTGGGGGTCCTTGAAAGGGGACAGGGACTGGCATCTGCCTCTGCCCCTCCCCGCCCCTCCCGCCCGCCTTCAGCGCAGTCAGGACACCCAGGCCCAGCTGCTGGGACGAGGGCAGGTGGGGAGAGCAGAGAGCAGAGGAGGGGCGAGTCCTCAGTCTGGGGCCACGGGGCAGCTCCAGCAGCCTCCTTGTGAGTCAGAAAGTAAACTGCTCCCTTTGAGGCGGCTTCGTGCGGCTGAGTAGTGTCCTTACAGCGCCTCAGAGCAGCGTTTCCAGCATGTGTCCTCTGCACCTTCTCCTACAAGTGGTTCCCATCTGTCGCCTTTATGCCCACAACTAAAATACAGGAGGAGCAGCCTGTGGCCAACAGGCAGGCAGGGTGTCATGTAGGGGCTTAAATGAGCACCCAGAGTGTCACCATTGAAAACACGACAGCTGCCCTCTCTGGTGTGGCTCAGTGGCTTAGAGTGTTGGCCCGCGGACTGGAGGGTTCCAGGTTCGATTCCGGCCAAGGGCAGGCACCTCAGTTGCAACCTCGATCCGTGGCCCTGTTCGGGGTACATGTGGGAAGCAAGCAATCGATTTGTCTCTCTCACATCGATGTTTTTCTCTCCCCCCCTTCCACTCTTTCTAAAAAAGCAATGGAAAAAATATCCTCAGGTGAGGATTGAAAACAAAACCAAGCGTGACAGCTCTCTCAGGCGGGTACAGCTTGTTTGCGGCCAGGCCAAGCCACCCTTCTGTGCGTTCCCTCCACTCCCTTCCATCTTCCTGGTCCCCTGAAGACCTTCCCAGTCAGTATCTGCCCAGAGGCAGCTCCCAGCCAGCCAGCCCTGGGACCGATGCCCGGTGTGGGTGAAACCTACTCTTCGCACAGCCGGCTGTGGTGGGGACCCCCTGCTGCTTCTCGGGGCTAAGAAAAGGGTCGCGGGTTGAGGCTGCCTTAGTTTTAAATTTACACCTGTCCATCGCACGAGGCTGCAGTCACCACCTCTCTGTGCCCCGGTTTTCTAATGTGAAAAGGGAAACTCATACAGCACCTAGCGAGACACCTGGGGCCTCAGCAGCAGCAGCTCTGGGC